AAACGGCTCCATTGTTAGCGCTCAGAGGGAAGCAGCAGTGTGGTATGAGAAAGCAGTGCCATCGTGAGCACTCAGCCACCAGCAAACTTTCTTGAATGACCTGGTGAGGGCCCTGAGTTCAGAGGCATGAAGAGGCATTAGTCACATGCAGGATAGGCTTGATGTGGGGTAGAGGTAGGGAGAAAGGTATGATGGGGTGGAGACAGAGAATGAAGACATAACTCCTTCCACACAAGAGAGGGCTTTTTATCCTCAGTACTGAGGACATTTGGAGTAGGATAAGTCTTTTTGGTGGGGGTGTGTCTTACAAAGTTCAGAATGTTTAGCAAGCAGAATGCCTGGTCTCTACCCATTAAGATGCCAATATACCAACACCCCACCCCAACCCAAATCCAAAATGTCTCTAAACATTACAGGGATCTCATGGGAAGCAGAATCACCCTTTTGAGAACTACTGTTATAAGGAAAGAAAAACAGATATCACTGGGCACTAGAAGAGCTTGCTAATTCCACATTGGCGAAGAAAGAGCAAATTATATTTGCACTTTCCCAGCATTGCTCCCTAGATGCCTTAAATTGGGGTGGGGAAGACATTTATGTGATTTTCTTATGTATCCTATAACTATCTGGGAATTAGTGCTTGTAATTCAGGGATTTTTTATTATAGACATAAATGCAAGTTTACACACACACACATACACACACACAAAAGCATATATACATATACCCTGCAGACATAAATCAGAATGTCTCTGATTTGGCTATGAAATTTAATGATCATCTAGGTTTCATTCATATGTCTTGTCAGAAAAAATTTCATAAACTTGCAAGAATGCAATATATGTCTTCTGCCAGAAAGAGGAGTCGAATCAATCCTACAGATGCTGACACTGCCTGAATTCCAAGAGTCTCCTAAAGGGGGAACATCTGTTGAATGAAGTTTCATTATTTTCCTTTTTAAAGAAAGAATAAGCCATGAAAATGATAAAATATGATTGGCTTAAAACACAATATATCCAACTTTAATCATTTTCTAAATCCAACGATATTTTTAGATGAAAGCAAAGGAGGTCATTTCCAAATCATTTTGTGAAACTTAAGCCTACCCAGAGGAAAGGTAATTTTGTTTGATCCTGAACATCAAGTGAATTTGTTCACCAAACCATTTATTCCAAAAGGTAATTAAAATAATGTAAAATTGATCCAGTATATGTTTAACAAAATTAACTAATTATAATCACTTAAACCATTTAACCTTTACAGTTCCTCCAAAAATGTTTGATTTTCTCAGAAATGTAAACAATGTATTAAAAAGGTGATGCCTCCTTGTCTATCTTTATTTCCTTTTTTGGTGATAAATGATTCTGTGCTAAGATAACAAATAAAGCAGACAAATAACTGAGGGGAGTAAATAGGATTTCCTCAAGTCAAGGGCACTCACAAAAAATGAAAAATATTAGAAGATACGGAAATCACACTTTTTGTGCTTGCAAATAACAGTGAGTTCTGTTACAATTAAGTATTAATATTTACACTTCAGCACTCACACCAAGCCTCCAAATGTGAATGAAAGGTAAAACACTCATTCCCCTTCAGGTATTCAAGTTGATTTGTAAACTAAGTGTGTACCGCAACTTAGCATTTGTTTATTTTCAACTACTTTCCGTTTGTTCAAGTCATTATCACACATAACTTAAAAAGTTCAACAAATCTAAAATTGCCTGCCACTAGCTACATTTATATAAAATGAACTTATAAAAACGTAGCCATTTTAATCACAGACAGAAATACTGAGTAGACATCAGGATTCGGAGGGGTTTATAGACACTCTTAAGTGTCCGTGAGAGGCATAAAATAGTTATGTAAGGGAAGAAATGTGCTGTGACAGCTCCATCCTTTAAAAAGAGTAGAAGAAGTAGGAAGTCCCTCAGGGAAAAAAATGGTGGAAATAACCATAGGCCCTTAGGGACTCTGAGCGACATCTGTCTATTATGAATTCATTATAACTTGCTACTTTATTTTGGAGGTAAAATTGTCATTTGTGTCATTCCTAAAACCAAATGACATTATAAAAGACACCCAATGGTAAAAATATTAACAGAAGTAACTGTCACTACTACAAAGAGGCAAACAAATCAAACACTAGGGAAAAAAAAAATTCTTTGAATATGATTTTTGACTGCAAAGAAGCAAGTCACCCATTATACTGAGGTTAATTTTTTGACTCATCGTTTCCACTTATCCAATGATATTGAATCACATGAGCAAACCTCTATACCTAATCAGGTTTTTTTTTATTGAATTGTGACCTTTAATCCACCTTCTTCTTGATTATGAATGACAGTGACCTTTACCTAATTTAAAGCAGACACTCTGATGCAAAATTATGCAAACGACACATGTAAATTCTGAATCAAACTGAAGATGTGCATAATCTACTGGCAAGAAATTATTTCAGAAGACATTTATATTAAGGCCCTGTGAGGGATTTGAGAGTAAGTGAATTAGTCAGCATATGAATGGTTGGTCGAAAGAGTGGCAAAGACCTAATGCTGTTTATATTTTCTGAGTTTCTATTTAGAAAAGTGAAATGTCAATATACATATCAATTTTTATTATTCTACTCAGTATTTTACGGCATTCAGGAAATGAACACAATGTAATAGTCAGACAAAATTATTTTTCAGAGGAGTTAGCAAACTGTGCCTGAATATTCAATTCTTTTTCATTTTGAATCACTTTTTGTTGTACAAAAACCTGGTGAAATTTAGCCACAGCGCATGTGGCATGTTGACTTCCTGATACTGTTTTATCTCAGTAAAGAGGAACTTCATGCCTCGTAACAGCTGCCAGTCAGGAGTGTTTCTAGGATATATTTAGAAACTACTATTTCAAGAAAAAAAAAAAAGCTAAAAGAATAAAAGAAGCATGTTTGATTGCGAATTGATGAACATTCTGCCATTCTGCACCACATCCACCACTCTTGATTCCTCTTATTTTTTTATTTTTCTACTTTTTTACTGACTCTTTCCTTTTTTTCTGTGGATTATTTCTATGGTTCTGAGCTGACTTTATTGAGGACAAACCCAGCCCTGGCACAAGCTAAAATGAAACCTAATCCTGTAATCCACTCTCTCCTTTTTCAAATTACTGCATTCCATACAGAATCGTTAATTCAAATTTGACACTGCTTTTCAAATTGTGCATTATTTTCCATCTGTACAAAAATACTGAGATACAGGGATGTCAAATGTGCTTAAAACATGATCCACAGTCGACATTTTATTAGCCAGCTCTACATGTATATGGGTTCATATGTGGTGGTGATGGTGTCAAAGGAAGAAGCCATTGGCAGTATTTCAGTGTCAGGACCTCAGAACCTCACCAAATGGTACCTGGCACAAGCGTGTACTTTCTTGATTAAGACCAGGGCATTGTCAAATTGCTGTATCTGAAATAAACAGATTTACCCTGACAGATAATCAGCATTTTGCACAGTCTAATATAGGTTTATCTTCCACTATTGACACGATTACACTAAAAGTGCACTCCATATAATCTTTCATAGGAAATTAAACAGGTTTTAATGATATACTTGTAATGGGTTGGGGACAGACTTGGAGGCAGAGAACTATCAATACTGGATGTTTGGGGAGAAGACACACATGAAGCCATGCCGAGGGAATCAATGAACACCGGAAAAAATCAATGGCAGTCTGTATTTAAGGAATTCATTTACATAGTTCCCAAAGAAATCAGAAAAACCGTACAAGGCTCTGAAATACCCTCCCGACTTTCTTATGTCCTGATGCTTCTTTTCTTCTGACATGAGCTCTGTGCTCAACTCCTGCACGGAAAAATATAAAAAGAGTTTGCTGAAGGAAGGAGGGTGGGAGGAAGGGAATATCACAGTGTTCTTAGACTTGGATCTACAAATCATATTGAATCTGTTAAAATTAATTAAAATGAAAAATGAAAAAAGATGAATTTTATCTTTGTCTAATTCATTGTGAATTCTTCCCAAAGTTCTCGACCTGGCTTTTGGAACTCGGGTCCTGGAGACTCCGTGTGGTCTGCACAGATACGAGGCTCAGAAGGAAATTCTGCAAACTCTAGACCTAGTGCCTGTCAGGAGAGTGCCTAGGAGCAGGGACAGGCGTGCTATTTTAAGTGCTGTAGAAATTAACACACGCTGGCCCATGGCCATCGTGCCTGGAGGATATTAAATCGGGACCTGAGAAGCAGAGTTAGGTGAAAATATTAATTTTAATCAAAATTATAAATGTGACTGCAGCATAAGAAATATCTTCCTTTAAGGATATGCTGTTACTTGGCTGTGATCTGCCTCGCTGCCTATGAGAAAACCTGGGAATTTTAACTCGGACTACTCTCAGATACCACACGAGGTTAGTAACATGTTAGGAGCAGTGCTTTGCTGTCTGCAAACTTATTTTCTTAGCTATGAAGTCAAATGAAGCCACAAAACATCTAAATGCTTGTATCTACAAGGAGGGGTCAGGGTGGTGTGAATTTGATGTTGGACAGAAAACAAATGCAGGCTGGGCAGTGCTGTGAGTGCTGTCCATTGAGCTCAGCACTGTTGGAACCTAAGAGCAGATATCATTTCATTTCTTTCCTGTAAGACGGAGGAGTCTGTATCTTTTATTTTCCTCTCACAGATGAGGAAGCTAAAACTCAGAGACATCGAGTGATATTCCCAACAGCTGGACTTTCAAACCAGGTCTGCTGGTCTGAAGTGCCCTTTCCCTTTCACTGGGCTTCCTTTGGATTTTAAATGCCTCTGGTTTCTGTTTTTCAATCAAGGATGCAGAACTTGAAACCATGATCAATTAGAAACAAACCTCCACAGTCACCTGCAGACGGCTCTTTGCCTCCCTGAAGCCAACAGAATCCCAGTGGCCAGTAGGTAGTGGTTTTCCGTTTGCTAATCAAAAGGGTTTCACATGCAGGCTTTGACATCTCCAGGGGCAAAGGCTGAACAAGGAACCGACTGGGAGTGTAGAGAACATCCTCTAGCACGCCCGCCCCCGTGGGTGGTGGAATCCACATGTTTACTGCCTTTACCCACCCCGGATCTTTAGGGAAATGGGGGCTTTTTGTTCCCTCAGATCCTATCTGTGCCCAGGTTGGTGGGTCCCGAATGCGTTTCCTGTGTCGCTCCTGGCAGCGCTGCTTCCCGAGCCCCGTGCCCGGTTCCGCACATCCCCGCCTCTTTCCAGGAGCACACTGACTGGCAATCATTGCACCTTTGAGGCTGCCTTGAAGCTCGATCCTCTGACAGGCTCCATCTCCACCCTGCTTAGGTGATGGTGTCTGCCTGGGTAAGACTGCATTTGCCAAATTCTGTTACGGCCGTGAGCTTTCTCTGTGGGATTTCTGATAGGATTGCCTATCTCATGGTTCGCCTTAAAAGCCGTCTTATATCCTCTTTGCTCTCATCCTCACTTAGGGCCCCAACTCTTTTTACTTTTCCATTTCCAGGGAGCCAAAGCGTCAGGACAAAATTAATCTCTATTTATGATTCATTACTATTTCTATTAGATATACGGGGCGGGGGAGTGGGGAGATTTAGTGATAGAAGTTAAAAACTGTAAGTTGGGGTTAGTAAGAGATGCCAGGATCTGAGTTCTTGACAAATGCTTCTGTCCTTGTCTCGCAAGAGCTGTCTGCTTTCTCCATTGCTTCGCGATCTCCTGTGTTCTTGATATTTTCTTTCTCCTTTTCATTCCCCTTCTCTCTTTTCCCTTTCAGGAGTTGCCTTCCCCTTTAACATCCAAAATGTGAAATCATAGTCTATATTATTGTGCCCATTGGAATAATTTCTTTTCCTATGGCTATTTTAAAATGTAACCTATGTGAATTTTCATATGCAGTCAGAACATAGGCCCAGTGTCTGGCATAGAGCTAAATCTTAAGAAATGGTTTGAATGGGTAGATGCTCTTCTCATTGTCCTTGTAACAAATTTTTAAAAATATGCAACTGAAGCTAAGTATATTTGAAAATTCAATCCATTCTTTATTAAACAAGAATTGGCTCTGGTCTGAGCACTGATGTCAGGTTTGTGAAAGACAGAGAGTTAGTGTGAGTTTCATCTTCAAATATTTTACAAGCTATTTGGAATACAAGAATTTGATCCATAAAACAACTGGGGAAATGTGAGAAAAGAACACAGTTGGAGGCTGACTTGTGTGGTGTGCACAGTAGACGCTGCAGATACATGGGAACAAGTCTCAGTTTTGGGAGAGGCATTTTATTAATTTTTTGAGAGAGAATTCATAGAAAAAACGCATGTATCTGTAAAACAACCATAACAACAATAACAAGGACTTTCTCATCCTGGTTTAAGGCTTCTACTAATTTTGGCCTTCCTTTCTCAATTGAAGATCTGATTAGCTGCTGAAGTTTTATTTTTGAGCTCAGATGTGTTGATAAGTGTCCAACCTGAACCAATTGTGAATATATTTGAGAATTAAGTTGTCTGGATATTTTTGCAAGCCTTGTTCAGTGAGAAAAATCTTTTGACTATATTTTTAATTTTAGGAAATTGACTTTTTTTAGACAAGGAATTCAGTTATGCAGCTGATGAATGCAGCAATGGACACAGTCTTCAAATGCTTTTAGATCAGTTTTTTTTTTTTTTTTTTTAAACTCCTTTGAACGTTTGTATCAACACATGGCTCCTGACCACCATCCTTGGTTCTCATCCTGCCCTCCTATTTTCCTTCAAGGTAAGAATATCAACCTAGTAATGGAGAACTCACATCTGAAAGGAGTGTCTCACAGACTGAGAAACTCCCTGGGTAAGAGGTGATGGCAGGGTAAGCTCAAATTTAAATTAATTCCCAACCTTTCCTGTTCCAACAATCGACATCTAACTTAGCTAATCCTGGCAAAACGAATAGGTTGAAATAACTATCAAGATAGATTCCTGGGCTTTCTGCTGGCTAGCAGATAGAGGCTTTGGCTATATAGGGCAGTCCATCTGCCTGATAGTTCACGTAAGATCTAAAAAGAATTGCTAGTATCACAGAATGGCATCAAAATTGTTTTCCATTTGTTCCTCAGGAAATGTGTAGCTTGCTCAATTGCTGCTGACCCGTGTTCCCCACATTTCTGCCATTTGATTATGTGTTGATGCTGTTGAGATTTTTGTTTACATTAGATAATTCATATCCACAGGTCAAATGAACAATCTTTAAATCAGATTCCTGTGGGTTACATGGGTAATAGTTCATCTTCTCACACTGGGAAGAAAAAGTAGAGGGAGACAGCTCAAGCCCCCCCAAGTACACGCAGCTTCCCTCTGTAGCCCTGTTCTTACTCACTGCTCCCCAAGGAGATAACACCTCCCAACACAAGGACAGAGGATTATGGTCAGTGTTTTACAGTCAGGCCATTTAAAGAGTCATTGTCACTTCATTACTTTTCTGTATCTGCTTTCCTTATGTGCTGGTGTATTTCAACTGCGGAAATTTTCACATAGATATACCCAATCCAAAGAAAGGCAAGGACCAGGGCCACCTTTTGCTACCCAGGAGATTTTGAAGAAAAATCTGACAAGATAGAAGGCTCTCTTTTTTTTTCTGATGGGAACAGTTGTTTGCATCAAAATTTTAATTGTTATCAGAACTTCAATGGAGTTGCTAGGAAAGGTAGTTAGATAAAGCCTCAGGTTAATTTCCATCATTACCAAGCACTTTACACCACTGAAAAATTCCAAACATATAAAGAGATGTCAATCTTGTTCTTTAGACAGAAAAAAAAGGTGGGGGGTGGTGGCGCTTCAAAGGCTGTCAGTAGACAAGTCAGTCAATTACAGATCTGATTTAGTTCTTAACTCCTTGAGGTAAAAGACGGGTGTTCTGCAAGAGTAACCATTCCCAGCATGCATTAAATGAAACAACTTTTAAAAAGTGTGATATCATGGTAATACCAGACTGAGGTGAAGTGCTATCAGGAGTGGAAAAATCAGAATCAGATATCCGAATCACAATAGCAAATGGGTAAATAGGAATATTTTTGCTATGGGGAGTCCTTACCAAATTTAGTTATCCCAGCTGATTAGCTAGGAAGGTAGTGCTGAGTGATGTTTCAGAGCCAGCAACAGAACAAACAGGTTCAAGTCCCCGGTCTGGCACATCCGTGTGGCCTTGGCTAAATGATTTAGCTGTCTGTACTCAATGTTTTTACCTATGATTGGGGACCATAGTCCTTACCCATGGTGTTGTGCAGATTTAGATGAACATAAACAAAGCAATAAATATCTGCTGAATGTTCTCAATAGCACAACCAATCCATACACAACAATGACTTCCAAGACCTAGAAAATATATATGGTATGCTACAAATGCACATGGACTTCAGATTTTTTTGGCACTAAAGGAACTTATTTTTTAATCTTGTTTTTCCTTGACAATTTGGAAGTCCCATGGTAGAATCTAAGAATTTTGAATGTCTGCAAGCGATATAGTCATTGAAGCCCTGCTGATGGAGAACATCTTTTTCCCTCTAGCAGAGCTGCAAGTTCCTATGGCCTCACTGAACACTCCTGAAGTCACAGAGAACTTATTAACACCCTCCATCGCATCCTTTTAAGATGAGAATTTATCTTTTTTAACTGACCTCAGTAAAATCAGCAGAAAGAGCCAGGTGGGAATAGCAACATGGTATTAGATACAGCCATGAGGTTTACCATTTCTATAGATTCTGCTGCGAGGCGCACTAAAATGGAGTAAAATGTGACTTATCTTGAACAGTTGCTTGAATGAATTACTAGAGGAGGGGAAGTTTACAGATGAAGCAAAAGAAACCCATGGGAGTGGAAGGCTGTGACCGTTTTATTTAGGATGCATAGTAAAACCTAACTTAAGGCATACAGGTTAGGTCTTTGGAGAGTTCTTTCGGGGTTTGCAAGCAAGCAAATGCGAGAGTCTATAAAATATGGACTTTGGAAATAACTCTTTGAAATGATGGTTTGAGATTCTGTGGGGAGTGCCTTCAGACTTCTCAAATCCTAGTAATTTGGTTGTAGAGAGAACGCCTGGTTATTTGCGTTTTCTCTGTCCCTGAAAGATCTTGGCCACTTTTCCTGTCTGTCCTCAGCCTCCGACTGCTGGCAGAGTGCTCCATGGCTTCCTTTGTTCTGAGAGGGCACCCGGTAGTTCCCCACTGGTCTCAAGTTCACACAGCCAGGCAATCCCACACACCTTTCCAGTGTGGGGTGGTCTTCTCAAGCTCATTCTAAATAAGAAAGAATCTCCTGGTGCCATCAGTGAGGAATCCTTTTCTTTCCCTATAATGCTGAAGATTGAATAGAATACTCCAGTGGCAGGCTCTTGGGAGGAAGCTGTTCCTGGACAACTGCATGCTTCAAATACATAAATTCAATTAGCCCTTCCTGGGGAGCCTCAGTTTACTTTACAACTCAGTATTTCAAAGAGTTTTAAAGAAATTCTAATTACTGCGTAAGAAATAAGTCAAATTCCTCTTCTCTCACTGTGAAAGGCTTTTATTACCCACTGCTATAAAACATATATCTTTTTTTTTTCTGTTGCTATCCTAGCAGAGTAGCCTGCATACCAATAGGATCCCCAAAATGCCACAAAGCAGAACATATTTATCTGTTAAATTCTATGTACAGTAACCTAACAAATGCCAGAGACAGAAAGATTGCCCTCTGCACAGTAATACTTGTGTAGATGTCTTCTTTATGCTAACAATGACAGGGCTTCGTGCCTTGCACTGTACTCCAAAATCAGTGCTTTTTTTTTTTTTTTCCAATAGAAGACTCTGTATCAAAAAGAAAAAGAACTGCACATTTTTGGCACTGAGATATTTTATATGGATAATAAATTTTTTCCCTCGATCCACACTAACTACAAGTATCTACCTAGAAGATGAAATCTAAGATTTATGCCATCAGAACTATTCAGTATATCAGAGGATGATTTTTTTTTTCTTTTCAGGACTGTCAACTTTGTTTACTGTTTAGCTCCAATTCTATCTTATCCAAGAGACTAAATAGTCTTGTCACAGCTGCATGTCAAAACCTTCTTAACAAAATAAGGTGGTAAATGTGAAATTACATTAATAAGGTAGAAGGAGCACTTTCAAAGACATATGGCATGTACTGAAATCTAAATTGTAACTGGAATGTTCTAATTATATTTGTACTAATCAAAAAGGGATTTTGGAGTCTGTAATTTTATGACATATTACTATGTTTTAAAATCAAAATGACTAAGGGATGATTAAAATATTATTACAAGTAACTTCAAGGAAACACATGAACTAATGTAAGCCTAGGCATTGCTTTCATAAATCAGCATGTATGTTGTCAAATCTGTTAGCCTCTTACACTCATTTTTAATATGAACTTAACCATTTGGCTGTTAAAAAATCATACTTAAGAAATGATCCCAAGCAGTGCTATACAAACATAACGGTTTTAAAAGCCTGACTACATTAAACTTTTTTCACAATGCAATTGCAATCTCGAGACAATAAATAGTAGCATAGATAATGACAGTAACTGACTCCTCACTAATTGTAATACTTCTGCATAGCCTAGTGACAATTTATGAATTGCGAAGAATAAATCTATTTGACAGGCCTGTTAGCAAGAAGGCCTTCAGCTTCTTGCTTTGCAGCAGAATGAAGTAAAATCTATCCCTTTCTTGCTGTTGTTAAAAACATTCCAACAGTTAGTTCTTTTTCACAGAAAATGCTGCAGGAAGGTTCTAGTTTAAAAAAAAATCTCAACACGACTGAATCTTACACTTCCTTATTATTGGCCAGGATACATGCTAAGTTAGAACATATTGAGAGGTTATTATTTTTTTAAGAGGGAAAACTTGATAGAGCATTGTATTTCTAGATCAGAGAGTGGACACTCTACAATCTTTCAGGCATTGTACAACTGAAGCTGGCTGCCGGGAAAATACGCGTTACAATACCCGGCACTTAAACAATTGTACCTATACCGTTAAGTAACAAAAGCGCGAGGCACCTGGAATCGCAGCATTTGCGCCTAATGCCAGCAACAATATAAAGCATTCAAGTGACATTTGATAATGAGCAGACAGTGGAGGCATTACACACGTCCTTAGAAGAATCAGACTTCCTACCTTGAAAAGACAGATGGAGGTAAGTTCCTTTATAAAAAAAAAAGTTGTAAGTAAAGCCAGGCAGCAGTTGCAGTAAATTGAGTCCTTTCAGTCACTGTGTACATACAGCAGTTCTGCAATAAGGGGAAAAATATAATGGGAGGAGCGGCTGTGAACGAGTGACCTCCTCAAGCTGAGTCCTCTCTGTGAACCGAGCATGGAGAGCCACTGCTCCTGATTTGCATGGATTATCTCCACTTGAACAGATACAGAGCAGATACATTTAAATTGAGCTGGCACAATGGCAAAAAGATGGAAGAGTGAATGAATGAGGGACAGCGCAAGAGAGGGAGAGAGAAAGAGAAACAGACAGGAGATCGGAGAGCGTGGATAAGCTGGTTCTTGCAGAACTGTGTCTCAGAAGAGCTACAGCTCCCTCTTCATGTCACAGTTGTAAGATAAGAAATGTTGTCATTAAGAACTGGTTAATCACAGGGAAAAATATACCCAGATTAGCAATGTTCGATCTGATCCAATTTTTATGAACATGTTATGATTCTTCCTTTTTTGTCATTAGGATTTTAGACAGTATGCCAAAAAAAATCTTTTATTAGTAGCTAGGT